GGGGGATTGTACTCTGTTATAGTCTTTTATGTTATATTTTAACCTTTTTGTGAAGCACTTTGGTGTACCTTCGGTTTTAAATGTGCTATATAAATAAAGTTGTATTGTATTGTAAGAACTGGGATGAAAATCAGTGGCTACAGGTCTTATGGAGTCATGAATCCAAATGTGAAATTTTATGTTCAATTTGTAGTCAGCACTCTTTGTATGGAGGAGGTCAAAAAAGAGGTACAACAGTGTTTACACTCATCTATAAAACACAGTGGAAGCTTTCATGCTGCATCAGCCGTGAGCTGTTCAATGAGTGTTTCCCATCAAAATCTAATTTCAGACATAACTCAAATCAAAACTCATAGTGAGTCTAAATCAAATCAATAGTAAGTCACCAATATTATTAGTTTAACTTTTATCAGCTTCAGGTCATCTGAAACTTTGGGAACGGTGAGGACAACCTGTTCTTCTACAAACATGCTCTCCCTGCCCAACTTCATTAAATTACCAGCATTTATTTGGTTAGTGTGAGTGAACTCTGGAACTTCATGTCAGGGTTAGGGTTGCTCTCTGTGTTTGGCTTCTTTTAAAGCAGAGCAGGCCTGAAGCTGTGGCTCAGGTGTGAGCCAACCGAAAGAAGGTGACCCTCAGGCAATGGGGAAATTCAGCAATCAAAGCATGAACTTGTTTGTTTCAGACTTATAAGTTCATAAGTTGAACTTAAGTTCCAAGGTGCTCCCTGGTCCGCCGAGAAATATAATCTCTTCACAGATTTCTAGTTCTTTCCCCGAATTCCCTCACAGTTGGATGCACCTGGAAAACCTACAAAAAGATGCCTGAAAACTTCAACTTTTCCCTTTTGACACAAAGTGGCTCTGCTCCACATTTCTTTGTCCAAGCTCATGAGCCCTTCTCAAAGTCTGAGTATTACGACAAAAGACGTGGAAACCTAATTTCAAAATAAAGACCAACTTTGAGTGAATTTACCTTCAACATTAACAGACATGTTAGAAGAATGAAAAGAGCAAAAAAAAAACAAAAACAAAAAACAAAAAAACCTCTTGATTCTTTTGCTTTGATGTAGTTACTTACTAAGGTGGAAAGTTTTTTGTTTTTTTG